GAACCCCACACCCTACTTGTACTACGGTTGATGATATAAATCCTGCATTACCTTGAGGACCCTCAACTATGGGATTAGGGTAGATTCCTTATCATGGGTACTGCAGGCTTTATTTTATCGACCGTATTTGTTGCTTTTTTTTTGGGGGGGGGGGGTGGTCTCCTGATTATGGTTAAAGTATACTATACCCTAAAACCCGATTCTAATCTTTAAGGCCCCTATACCCTAAACCCTACACCCTACTAGTAGTAAGGTGAGCCCTGATCTTCAGAGCCGCCTCCGTTGGACGCCTTTCAGTAAGGACAGGGTTAGGGTTTAGGGTTTAGGGCTCAGGGAGCTTAGGTCTTTTGGGTTTAGTGTTCGCTGCAGAAATCCATACTTGCACCATCTTGCGGCAGATTTTATGGGGCTCGGGGCTGTTGGCGTTTAGCGTTTTCGGGTGGGTGTCCTTTTCAGCTCTTCTAAGAATACCGGCAGAGACCTTCAGTTGTGCTGAGCGCTGCTAAGCAGGGAGTGTGTTGAAAATGCTTGCCCTGCCTGAACCTGGCGGGGTCGTTGTAGGCAAGTTCCAAAAGGGCTTTCGGCTGTGGAGTTTGGGTTTCCAGGATTTTGGTTATGGCTTTGGGGATTTGGGGTTTCCGGGAGCGGTCTGCAGGGTTGTGGGCTTCAAGCTTTGGGGAGGGGTGTAGTTTAAGGCAAATCAAGGTGAATTTCCCGTTTTGCATATTTTGCGTTCGGGATTCATGGTTGAAGTTGGAGATGGTTGAAGGCTCTGCACATTGAGGCTCTTATCTTCGAGCCCTCTGCGTTCTCAGTACCTCAGGCCCCACACCTACGACAGTGTGGCAACAAAGCCTGGAACACCTTGAAACCCCAAGTTCTAGGCAAAGGACTCCACTACCATCCACTACCTCCATCCTGAACCCGAAAATACCAATCTCGAAGCCAAATACTACAGGCTATGTCAGCTCCTCTTTTTCGGAGGAGAAGGGTAAAGGATCTGTTCGAGCTTTGGCCGTTCGCCCGGGCGACAATGGAGTCGAGGCGAGGCTGTAATACAGGGGCTGAATGATAGCACTACGACTCCTTTGGGATT